TACGTCATAGGTTCACATCCTTCTAGTTGCTGTACGTGGGACTCGGCCTCGCGTTGGACGGAGAAGTGGTGCCTCGGGGCGCTCCCGGGATCCGAACCCGGGCCGCCAGCATCAGAGCGCGCGCACTTAACCGCTAAGCCACGGGGCCGGCCCCTTATTGTATTCTAATTCTTTGAAACGTAATCATCTTTTTTATGATTATGTAAACTAGGACAATCCGTGTCTTCCCTTAGTGTATAAATAGCCTTTTTTGGTAATTTTTTTTTTGGATAAAGTTTAAAGAATTCTATCTTCTGTTCTCAGAGAGTACTCTGAGTGATTTACAGTAGTGAAGAGTAGAAAGTTCTTTCAGACTGTGGAAATGCCAATTTTAATAGTGTTAGCCACTGATAAATTGGTAATAAAACATGTATGTTTATTGTGTTACATTAGATGAAAAAAGGCGCATTTTGACTTAAGTATAGCATCACTTTTTTTAGGCTTAAGTTTTTAGATAAATATTCAGGTGATTTTTTGGTTGTCTTTTCTATACTGTCCTAATTCTGAAGATTAAGTAATTAACAGTGAGCCAAGAGGGTGTCTGGTAGGGGCTTAATCTCAATTGTTTTTTAAAGATGTTTGAGAGATATTGATATATCTTTATGTTCTCAAGGGTGGGTGTGACATTATGTTCCATGAGATTAGAATATGAATGGATTCAATTTGAGGATTACATGGTTATATTTTTTTACTTAGTAAATTTTTAGTCATAGAAAGTTAGAACTGGAGATAACGTGGAGGTAGCAGAGTCCAATCTCAGAGCTACGGAAACCAAAGCCTGGAGGTGTGGAATTAATTGTTGGTGTATCTTGCTTTCATTTGTATTAATCATGTACTTGCTGTCTTGTTCTTATACACAGTTTTTTCTTCATTAAATTGAGTCACAGTACTTGCATGTGCACATTTTAAGTATAAGAACAATTGCTTTTCAAGATTATGGACAGGAGTAGATTTCAACTAGGTATAACTAAGAGATCAAAGGAAATCATCATCTCTATATTTTGTTACTTAAAAAAATCCATAGTTCTTGATGATGTTCTCGTGATTTTCTTACATTGTTGACTCAAGAAGTCATGTGTGTATTTTTTATATTTAGCCAGGCTATGATGACCTTAATCCTGATTGGAGACTCTCTACGGAGAAGAGAAAAAAAATCAAAGGTGAGTTGTATGAAATATGATAATTAAAACCTTAAGAGACTCCCACTGTATAATAAAGATGCTCTTTAGCTGATATAATATATGTAAGAGAGGAAAAAAGCTTTTCCTTTCTACCCTCCAAGGTTGTCTGGCGGGGCCCTGTAAAATTAGATTGACAAAAGTCAGATTGACAAGAGAGAAACAAACACAAGTTTATTAGCATGCACATTGAGCTCACACATGGGAGGACCCAGAGATGAGTAACTCTGAGGGTTTGTTGGAAATTGGGCTTATGTAGCATCTTAGCAAACGAACAATAAATTATTAGAGAAGTGACAAGACAAAGGAAAAGAACTTTGAGTTTCTCAAATTCCTTCAGCTTAAAATATTTCTTATGTTGAAGTGGCATATTTTGGGGTGGCGTATCCTGATCCGCTTCACAAGTTTAAGAGGAAATTGGCATTGACAACTTTGTATATCTGACCTATATTTTTAGAAAGATTATAATCATCTCATATTATTTGTCTGGAAAGTATATGAACATTTTCCAAAACTTTTTATAACCTTCTTAATCTGTACACTTTGTACACGCCTACTTTTCAACTTATTGTGTTGAAAATGGTGACATATCTGTATATTCTTTGTTTGTGAGAGGAAAGACCTTAATATATTTCTCTCTGCATCCCTAGAATTTTAGACTTTGACTGGTGGATTGTTGGCACTCAGATGTTTATTAAGTAAATTACCATTTTGTAAAAATTTAAGTGATGACTTACATTTTATTTTTTCTTATTATTTAACATACCTTTAGGACCCAAATAATGGTTTTTAAATTGATTATTGGACTAAACGTGTTGTATTTAAACCAGATTGACCTATGCATTTGATTGGTTTACTTTCCCCGTTAGATAAAGAGGCCTTTTACCCGCTGATAGATGTCAATTGGTGGGCAGGCACTGCAGTGACTTTGGCTCGCTGCTCTGGTGCTTTGACTGTTTCATCAGTGAAAACTTTGAAGAATTTACTGGGAAAATCTTGTGAATGGTTTGAACCGTCACCTCAAGTCACTGCTACCCATGATGGGGGATTTTTAAGTTTGGAGGTAATGTTTTCTCTTTTAAAGCAGCCAGTGTGTTTGAAAGTAAATGTGTATTTCACCTGTTAATCCTGGAGTGAAAGTTACCTTTAACAGTCAGGCTTTCAGACTCAGAACTTTGTGAAGCTATTAGATGTTTTTAAAAAGGGGAGGGTGGGAGAGCTCTTCTCAGTAAAGCGAATAAATACCTTCATGCTCATTTTCTAAGTAGGTAAAAAAAATCGTCTTATTTTTCCATAGCAGGTATAAAAATATCAAAAGTGAAGAAATTAATACTCTCAACTCTTTTATATCCCTAAAATAATTACCAGCCATATATTTTCGAGACCATGTGAATGACCTATTATTAAAATAGACTTTAGTTTTGGAGATTTGGAGCAAATAACATAGTGGCATATTTCTGGAGCAGTTGATGTATATAATGTTTGTTGTTGGGTTCCTTTGAATTCCATTCTTAGTCCTAATCACATGGCCGATGTAATGAATCAAACTAGAGAAGAATTAAACAATATTTTTCTCATTAACTTTAAAATCTTGCCTGTAGTTCCTCACTGTTAATTTCACATCTCCTTTTTCAATTTAGTGTGAGATTAAACTTGCCCCCAAACGATCTCGTCTGGAGACTAGGGGTGGAGAAGAAGATGAAGGGGAAGAGGATTCGGACTCTGATCAGGAAGTATCTGCCAAAGCTCGCTACTTTGGTTACATAAAACAGGGCCTGTACTTAGTGACTGAGATGGAGCGGTTTGCACCACTCCGGAAACGCCCACGAACCATCACCAAAAACTACCGCCTTGTGAGTTTGCGCTCCACAACTCCAGAGGAGCTTTATCAGAGGAAGGTGAGGGAGTATCATAGTACTATCAAAGTTCATAGGCCTCCAGATTTTATTTTATTTTATTGAGAAAAAACTATTTTTTTTGATAAGGGAAGAAATTTAAAGAGGGATTATATCATTGACATGTTAGCAATATCAGTATTATAAAGCTTTTGAAAATAATACTGATCTTTGTGCTTGAATAGTCAAAACAAAAACAGTGGATAAAAGATGAATTCACCTAGACTGATTGTCCACTTTGTGGCTTAGCCTGGGTTTTTGTGGCTTAGCCTGGGTTTTTGCTACCCTTCATGTGGCCATCGGCTCTCGCCTTATCTGTGTTTAAGTACAGCTGTCTACTCAGTTTACGGATGGTGAGGGAAGAAATGCAGACTTGCTTTCTCATCAGGGGTTTGCTTGGGAAGCAGGTGTGATCTGCACTGTGTGTTCTAGTTACTTGTGCTGTTTCTGCAGGGTCATGGGTGGAGCCCTGGACTAGGAGTCAGGCTGTCACACTGCTCGTCCTGATTTTGCCATTATTTTACGCTTTAAATGTGGGCAATTTCACCTTTTGTCCTTCATACTTCTGTTAAAGTGCTAAAAGAAATTCCTGCTCTATCTATCCCTCAAAATGTTGTGAGCTTCTGGGTACTATAGTGCACATGAGAGCAGTTAGGAATTCATGACATGCTTTACAGGTTAAGGGATTATCATCACTCATCATGTCATCCCAGTGACACCGTGGACAATTCAGTAATGTGACATTCCTGTTTCCGTTTCCTTGTCCAAAGATTGAAAGTGAAGAGTACGAGGAAGCCTTGTCTCTGGCTCAGACCTATGGCCTGGATACTGATCTCGTGTATCAGAGGCAGTGGAGGAAGTCAGTGGTCAACATTGCTTCAATTCAGAATTACTTGGTATGTTTAAATATTTTTGTAATGTGGTAAAATTCAAATTTATGAAATGTCTTTTGGTTATAGGGCTTCACATTAGAGTACTTTACATTGCTGACTTTTCTGTAGCTGATGAAGTGTTTTACTCAACCTGGAAAAATTATCTTGTTATCAGGTTCTGTTGGCCCTGCAGCTGGACTTTGGGGCTAAAGATGTGTGAACAAATATTCACGGATAAACCAGTCAACTACCTGTTCTTCACCTAACCCTCTCTCTTATTCTACCTCACTTACCTCTCTTGAGCTACATCAATCAGGGTCCCATCAGGAGCTAGAAACCACACAGTAATTTGAACAGAGACAGTTTTAATATAGAGAATTATTTTCTAGTAATGAGAGATTAACTATAGAGGGATAGAGAGAACTCTAAGGGATACCCTAGGGCTGAAGGGACATACCCACGGAGGGAACAAACTTGGAAGGGAGGCCTCTTCCCTTGGGCTTGGATTCAGACTTCATTGGACAAAGAGTGGTTGCAGCCAATTGTATGGAGAGTTTTCTGGGTTGCCTCAGGCCAGGGATGGTCCATAGTTGCCAAAATTGACAGGCAGGGAAAGGTAATGGCAAGCTGCATGCCTGTTGCTAGGGTGCCAGTGAGCCGAGGTTGCGGGTCAGAAGACCCCAGGGACCGGTAAGCAGCAAACCCCCCACCAGCATGTATGCAGCTCAAGGCTGGTACATGAGGAACCATGGCCAGGACTGAAAAGAAAAAAACTCCCAGTGGAGTGCTGGCAGGCCTAGGCTAGGAAGCTTTCCCCTCAGGTGTCTAGGAGATTCATTGGGAAGGAATCTGCCCACGGAAGTGCAACTGAAGCTCAGTAGGAAGTCGTCCTGGGTGGGAGGAAGCGGGGAAGTAAACGCCGCTGGATGTCTCCTACATGCATTGCTGGTTGCCAAGCCATAGGAGCAAGAAGAAAAGAACCGGAGCCCATGAGGAATAGAACCCAGAGCCTCTTCCTCTGCAGTGGCCCTCCAGCAACCTCTATTGTCAAAGCTTAGTAAAAGCTATCTACCCCATAGCCGGCTCTGAAGAGTACTTTTGAAGCTGAGAGGCAATAAATGGATAACTGACATATCAAGCTTGCCAGATACCCCTTTTTTGCTTAAATCTTACAATTGGATCCCTTCTGCTACCTGCCACAGTTAAAGTTGCTATGGATCCTGTTTATTTGGATCCTTGGCACCTCTGTGAGGAAGTAGTTGGCCTCATGGCATGCTTTTAAAGGTTGTGACTTCTCATCTGTCATTTAAAAAGGAAAATACCTTTGCATTTAGGAAGATTCTAAGAAATGTTGGGAAAATTTCATGATAATTATTTTCCCTAAAATTTTATGTACATGAGTAATTAAAAATAAAAGTCTAATCTGAAAAAATTGTATGTTAGAAGTTGATCCTTCAATCAAGCAGGAAGAAGAACTGTTAATGCAAGTAAGATATCAGAGATGAGACAGTGTGAGAGAGAATGAAAAAGAGGAAGAGGAGAAAGCTACTTGTATTTTCTTTAGAATAGCAGAACACCAAACCTGTGTTATCTTTCTTTCTTCTTTTGTGACTCAGGACAGTGAGCTCATGGGTTCGTGGGTACCCATCTAGTGGCTTTTTCTGGAACATAATAAAGGACAATTTTGGTCCCTGAAGGAGCTGACAGGTGTTAGGAGAGACAAAGCAAATACGTTTTTTATAGGGGGAAGTACTTAATTCAGCTAAATAAATAGGTAGGAGTGAAAGCACTGTGCTAGGGGCAGTGAAGTGCACAGGAGTGGCACAGACGTGGCCTTGCTTTAGGGACTTATAATCTTACTGAGAAGACAAGCTTTGGGCCTGACGTATCCATAACCATACAAGAAGATTTCAGATAAAGGCTGGGGGAACCCAGTGAAGGTGGCAGTCATTATAGACTCTGGTTGTGGAAGACTTCCTATAGTGAAGATGTTTTGAGCAGGGATTTGGAAGGATTCAAAGTAGGCCTTCTAGAGTTAGAAGAGAAGAAGACATTCTTAATGGGACAAATGGTATCAGCAAATTAAAAGAAAACGAGCATGACTCATGAAGCCAGTGACTAAATCTGTCTTATTTGTTGCTGTATCTTTATGTTTAGTTCAGTGCCTGGTACACAGTAGGTGCCCGGTCAGTATTTCTTGGATGAATAAATGAGCTCTGTAAGTAAACTAGTCTGCTGGATCTGATATTTGATGATAGTGAGCATTGGGAAATATGATTAGAAAGATATATTGATTTGGGTTCTGGAGGATGTTGAAAGCTTGTGATGACTTAGGCTTTTTATCTTTAGGGTAATGGGGGACTGTTGTAGAGTTCTGACTGTGGAGGTGCAGAGGAAGATGATCTAGAAGATGAACTGGAGTAGAAGGAGAGTAGTGGTGGGAAACCTTGCTAAGGGCAAGGGACTCCTGCAGTGTTAAGTGTTGATGATTTAGACTGGTATGGAGGCCTTAGATACGGGAGAGGGGAAATAAGAGACATTTGAAGAAAGAATTGGTATATTGGAATATGTAAGGGAATATAGGATATGAATCCAATTTTACTTTAAATTTGTAACTATAATGACTCTTTCTAGGAAGAAGGCAAGTCAGGGATTTTGAATGGAGTCAGAGGAAGCAGTTGGGAGGGAGGAATAGGCCTTTGGTCTTTGCAAAGAACAGCATAGGATGACTTCTTATGATTAAATTATCATCCGCCCTTTTGATACATCTCATGGTCAAGTAAATGCACAACCTTGATGTGCCATGCCTCATTAGTTTTGTTTCAATATCAAGCATGCTTGTTACAATAGGATAAATCTTATCCTGCCTTTCTGCTTTATTTTCTACTCTATTATACAGCCCAAATGCAAACTACAGAACAACTATAAAAGTTTGGAAAGATCTTTTTATACTTCCAAAAAAGAGTACTGAGCTTTGCGTTCCACTGTGGCTCATTAGAAGCAGCAGCAAAGCAGTTGGAATCACATTCCCTATGTCCAGTTCTAATCACCATTAAGGAATTGGCTTTTTTCTGTTGTGCTTCTCTAGGAGCTAGCTGTGGGCAGGTTCTTAGGTAGCTATACTCCCTCAGATATAGCTTCATAATTCTAGAAGGCAGTTGTCAGGTGCTTTCAGATGTCATGGGTTCTTTAATGCCTCTGTTTTTTTATTTTCTTTATATCCAGAGTAAAATAAAGAAACGATCCTGGGTTCTTCATGAGTGTTTGGAAAGAGTTCCTGAAAATGTGGATGCTGCAAAAGAACTGCTTCAATATGGATTAAAAGGCACAGACCTGGAGGCTCTTTTAGCAATAGGGAAAGGAGCAGATGACGGCAGGTTGGTTACAGAAAGATTTGGATTCAAAAGTAAAGGTGGCTTTGTGAAAACTTTTAAACTGAGACATTGGAAAGGGTAAACTTCTCTTTATTTAGGTTATTCTGTAATGAAGCAGTTGCCTTTGATTGATGCTTTCTTATCTGAGGTCACAGCTTTCTTTAAGTTAAATATGTTTGCATATGATAGCTTGATGCTAAGGAAAGAGCAAATTGTACGAATCTTTACTGGATGCTGGCCATTTCTAAGCTGTGTGCTTAAGGCTCATACCTGGGTGTGCTTACTAGTCAAATGAGCACCTTAGACAGGTCTGAGCTTCATTCACTTTATTTATCTGTAGCATTATGCCCGTCACAGAATTACTTTGAGTGATTAAATTATTTATCTTGTGAAAGTACCTCATAAACTTTTAAGCACCATACAAATGTCAGTTAATAATAATAATAAAGTTAATTGACAAGAGCCATTGCTCATCAGATTTTTGGAACATTTTTTGAGGTATAAATGTGATAGTATATCTGATAAATAAATAATGTAAATGAAACTGACATTGATTACCATTTTAAGACCTTAAATAGAAGTGATTCAAATTGTAAACTCTAGGCAACATTTTCTCATAGCCTGTTTCACACTGGGTGAATATAACATGTTTTCCTAAATAGTTTTCATTTTCTTGATTTTTAAAATTTCTCTATATGATGGTTACTGATAACCTGATGACTTTTTGCCCATCCTATGGATATAATGAGTGAATCTCTTTGCTTACAATAGCAAAAGCTTTCTTTCAAATAATTGGCTATTTCTGTTTCTGTGGAGATCAACTTAATAAAATCAAAGTAGGGGAAAACATCTATTCACTACAGGAAGTTTAAAAAATTAATCAACAGATTTGGGTTTTCTTTTTTTCTTGCAGATTTACATTACCTGGTGAAATAGACATTGATGGTATCTGCTATGAGGAGCTTTCATCACCTAAAGAAGAGCCTGCCAAGAAGAAAAAGGAGAAGGAGCTCAAGAAGAGACGAGAACTACTTAAATTAGTGAACTTTTCAAAGTAAATGATTTGTTACTGTTCATTTTATAATTTCTTTAAAATTATAAAATGTCATTTAAGTGTGTCCTTTACTGGTGATAATTGCTCTAAATTATTTTGGCAACTTAAAGCAAATTCCTTTTAATATTAATTTACCCTTGTGCTTTTATGTACTGTTCCATGAGTTTTGGGCTTAATGGAATATTATCATTTTTATTCTATTTCAACTCTTAGGGAAATGTTGCTTTTATGTAAATATAAGTGGCCTAATGTAGTTATTCAAAACAGGTTAACACTGGAGCAAAAGGAACTTTGCCGTTGTAGATTGAAATTATTAACCTACTTAGATCGACTTGCAACATATGAGGTAAGGGTAGTTTTAATCAAACCAATTATGTTCATTTGATCTGTCATTATAAATGCTAATATCAGATATTAATATATAATATTTGATAGTCTTGGTCTTTAGAACTATTTATGTGGAAAAATTCATTTTGTACAGAAGCAGATTCTCTTATCTATGAGTTTTGGTAAAAATTAGAGATGATGAAAGGCCAGAAGTTGTTTTGTTAGTCTAGGGAATAGAAATGCTTTGGACGTTTCAGAGCATCTGTGTTTCCTAGATTTATGATCCTTTTCATTTACTTTTATTTTACATTGTGATTTTAAGGTTATGGCATATAACTGTCTACAGTACCATATTTTGGTATACACTGGATTTTAATAACCCTAGTATAAATATTTCTGACTTCTTTTAGTGATTTGTTAATAAGTTGAATTTAATTGGTTGAACTTTGATCCTAATTGTGGCCTTAATCTGTGTTACGCCTCCCTTCTGTGGGCATACCTCACTTGGCACTTGGTACTGGCATATAGTAGGGACTCAGTAAATGTCACTTCTGGTAATGTGATGCCTATCCCCAGAATAATGGTGGTAGTTAGTACTTGTGATGCCTACAGGCAGATAAAAGCATTTGATTCCCCTTCTGCTAATATAATAAAAATATTTTCAAACAAAATACTAGTGACAAAGAGGGCTATTTCTATGGTAATTAGAAAACATTGTGATGAGTATATCATTTCATGCAAACAAGTTATAAAAAATTCATAATAGTTTTATCTATAGGTACAACTAGTTTGTTGTTGGATGGTCATATTATTTTAAAGCATATTCTTTTATTATGTCTGAGTTCTGTGATATTTTGAGGTAATATATAAAAGCACATTGTGAATTGCAGAAGTCAGTACAGATGTAATTTATTATTTTTTATACTTAGCCTTAGTTTCCCTGATGATGAGATCTTAAAAAGTTCCATTATATATTCAGAGTTTGACTATCCAGTTAATTTTCTTGCATTATTCTTTAGTTATTGAATTGCTATTTCCTATTCGACAGTAATAAGTACATTTATTATTACGTGGTAATAGTGACATTTTAAAGTATTTGTTGAGCCCACTTTTGTAGGGAATTAAGCTAAGCTTTTGAAAAGTAGGTGAAATTGATGAATTTGGCTGTTAAAACTTGAATTAAGATGTTCACATGTAATGGCTAACCAGCTAGATAGTGGTAGAGATAGGCATTGCATGTTAATCGTAGGGCGTGGCTTATTTTATTAATTCTGTGATAAATGAGATAAAAATGGATTCATTTAAGTTTTATACGAGCGCCTACTATATGCCAGATATTATGCCAGTGCTGGAGGTAGAGAGATGAACAAGGAACAGTCTTCATGGAGTCCTCATTATTTCGACAATAAGTGATGATAATGAAGATATGAAGAATTGATGAGGCAGCATAATGGAGAAAAACATTAAATTTTTCCTGGGGATGTTCAAGAAGGCTCTACATAGGAAGTGATATTTCCACTAATCCTTAAACAAGGAAGGCCGACTTAGGTGGGTAGATGGGTACTATGTGGGGGAAACGAGAATGGAAGCTCCATGAGGGGAGGGGCTTTGTCCTGTTGGCTGCAGTATCCCCAGAGCTCAGGATGATACCTGGCTCCTTGAGGAGCTCGGTAAATATTTGTTGAAGGAACCCATAGGTAAGAGAATACCTTAAGAAATACCAACACATTTGTTGAGGATTTAATATTTGTCAGCCAATGTCTTATGTACTTTATCCAGATTATTTCCCAACAATTCTTTGGGGCAAGTACTGTATCCTCTCAATTTTATGATGTGAAAACTGAGGCTTAGAGAAGATAAGTAATTTGTCTAAATAAATAGGAATCAAGAACTCACAGCTAGGTCTCTCTGATTTGGTAGCCTATGCTGATAATCAGTGAGCTGTATAAAGAAAGGCCTGCCGGTGTGAAAGAAGACTGTGTGCTCCTGAAAAAGTGAGCTAGTCAGGGTAGCTAGCCTGTAGGGGGCAGGGGAGGGGGTGGCACAGAATGAAGGTGGGAGAGATGGTTGGAATAGTTTGTGGCCATATTTTGAAAGGTCTTTCATGCTGTGTAAGGAGTTGAATTGAATTGAATTTTTGTCAGAGGTTGAGTGAGTTTAGGAAAGAATGGGAAGTGGGGAAGTAGAGACAGTGGTTGTGGACAGCCATTTCAAGAAGTTTTATTGTTAAGGAGAGCAGAGAAGATAGTGGTAGCTAGAGGACTGTATGAGATTAAGCGTTTTTTTTTTTGAGAGGAAGATTAGCCCTGAGTTAACATCTGATGCCAATCCTCCTCTTTTTGCTGAGGAAGACCGGCCCTGGGCTAACATCTGTGCCCATCTTCCTCTGCTTTATGTGGGACGCCGCCACAGCATGGGTTGACAAGCGGTGCATCAATCTGCGCCTGGGATCTGAACCTGTGAACCCCAGGCCTCCGAAGCAGAATGCGCAAACATAAGTGCTGTGCCACTGGGCCGGCCCCTAAGGATTGTTTTTTAATAGAAGGAAAAAGTATTGTTTGTATGCTATGGGAATGAACTAGTAGAGGGTGAGGAGGAATTTACTGAACAGAAGAAAGAGGAGATAATTGCATGATTATAGAAATGGAAGAAATGGGATCCAGAGCATGAGTGGAGGTTTGAGGCTTTTTTGGGAGCAGATATTTGTAACTGAAGAAAGGAAAATCACATTGGTATAGGTACAGGTAGATATGTAGTTTTGGTGGGTTGGCAAATGAGGGACTTCGTATCTAACGGTCAATTAAAAAAAGAATATACGAAGCAAGGTTTTCAGCAGAGAGTGGGGCAGGGGAATAGGATGTTGGAGATCTGGAAAGAAGGACAGAGTTGTGGAAAAGTTCCTAACAGAACTGGAAAGAAAACTTATTAGGGAACTGTAGTAGCATTGAGGGACAGCATCAGTGTCTGTTTGACTTTTGTTTTGAATTTAACAGTTTTTAAGCTTTTTATTATAAAAAATTTCAAACCTTCATAAAAGTGTAGAGAGTAGTGTAATGAACTCTGATGTATTCATTGCCGAGCTTCAGCCGTTTTCAACATTTTGCCAGTTTTGTATCTTTTATTTTCCACCTTCCCACTCCTGCCTTTTCTTTCACTGAAGTATTTTAAAGCAAATCCCAGACATCTTTCATTTTGCCCATAAATACTTAACTATCTCTAATTGATAAGGACTTAAAAAAACAACCGTAATAACACTATTATTTCTAACAAAATTAGTAGTAATTCCTTAATATCATGATATATCCACTAATGTTCAGATTTCCCAGGTTGCCTCACAAATGCTTTTTTATGAGGTTCGTTTTTGGTTCATTTGAATCAGGATCCAAACAAGGCTGAGATCTTGAAATGAAAATGAGAACTGTCAGCTTGGTTTTGTGCTCTTTCTTCACTGACTTCCAGTAACTTGTATTCAGAGTTCACAGTTGCATCTGACTAGGGCTGAGGTTTTGCCAGGTGAGTCTGATAAGGGAGAGGCAAGGGATTAAAGAAATCCCTTTATAATGATGGACCAGGGACTGGAAGCTCGGTAGAAGGGAAGAGAGACTTTGAGGGAGAGAGAAGGTGAGAAAAGAAGTGGAGTCAGTGGGTTGGGTGCCTTGGCAAGGTAGGGGAGTTGTTGGAGGGCCGCGTACTGGGTGTGCGGGAAGGACAGGAGCCGCTGGTCACAAGTCCAGTGCCTGACATTGGTATCCCGGAGTGTCTTCCTGGTGATGACAGAGATCCAGGGCATGGCCATGGATGTGTAACTGAAATGAAATAAAGGAAATGGTCACTGTGGAGGAGGAGTCAGGGACTGAGAAGATTTTTGAAATGTTTTCTTCTTTTGGTTTCCGTGAGTGTGGAATAAATTCTGTTTTTCCCTTACTTCTCTTGCTGCTCCTCTTTCTACTTTTCAGGTAGAGATTCCCTTTTCCTTCCTCATCCTTTAAATGAGGTTTTTCCTCAGGCTCCTTTCATTTCGTTCTGCTTAATCTCCCTTGGACTCGTATTCACCTCTGTATTAACTCTACATCATGTAGCTAACTCACAGCTTACTCCAGCACTCCTGACCTTATATCCACCTGCCTGCTGGGGAGCTCCTTTTAGAGGTGCCATAGTCCCAAACTCAACGTGTTTGCAGGTGAACTTCTCACTCTTCACCCTCGCTCTCTCACCTCCTCTGAGCATCCTCATTCTTCCTTCTTTCCTATCGCAGTAAATGAATTCAGTTACAAATATTTAGTGGGTATTTATTATGTGAAAGACAGTATGCTAGGTATCTGGGGCTCAGCATTAAACATGACAGACACGAGCCCTAAGTCAGACGCTGCAGTGGGGAGACTTACACTCACACTTGCCGAGGCTTACTCCTATTTGTCCTTTATGTGTCCGCTTCGGTGCCACTTCTGGGAAACCTTCGCTGCCCTCTTAGAACTAGGTCTAGGACCCCTCCCGTGTGTTCCCCTTTACCTGTTCCTATTGGCTTGTCTTCCCTACTAGATTTTAAGCTACTTGGAGAGCAGGGACAGTGTATTGTTCATTGTATCCACTGCCCATCTCAGTGCCTCTAGCACGTGGTGGACACTCCATAACTGTTTGAACGAATGAATGGTTTTACGTGGGTCACACCAGCAGCAGTAGTTAATCGGAAGCTCGCATACAGATGTGGCAGGTGCTCAGAATGCACAGCCATGTATAACTGTTCCTTATTTGTTTTTGCCAGGTGGTGGATTTTGGTTGTCCTGCTGTAATTAATTTAATTTTTACTGCCTATTTCATCTGCTTCTGGACTTTTTTTTAATTAACAGCATTTATAAATGTAGCCATTTTCAAAATAAAGGCAAGAATGCAGATGTAGTACTTTAGTTAACAGTTGATAGTTTAATTCATTCAGGCCTTATTTATTTAGGTAGGCAGAGCTGTAAAGGTTTTTAATATTTTCTTGTTACCCATGTTTAAAAGCCTTTTCATTAAATCACTGTTCCCCTCAGGAAATCCTAGGAGTGCCTCATGCATCTGAACAGAGATATGATGCTGAATTCTTTAAGAAGTTCAGAAATCAGAATATTGTTCTCTCAGCAAGAACTTATGCTCGGGTAATTTCTTTTTTGTAAAAAAAATAATTATGTTTAGTAACACTTTCTAAATCTTTGAGCTGAAGTTAATGTTATTGCATGCATATATAATTAAATTTTCCTTTTTTGTTGTAGTATTAATAAATGTAGAGAAAACAGAATCATATTTTAAGGAACTTTTATTCATAATTTGAGTTTTAAAAATAAATAACTTAGGGCCGGCCCCGTGGCTTAGCGGTTGAGTGCGTGCGCTCTGCTACTGGAGGCCTAGATTTGGATCCCGGGCGTGCACCGACGCATCGCTTTCCCGGCCATGCTGAGGCCGCGTCCCACATGCAGTAACTAGAAGGATGTGCAACTACGACGTACAACTATCTACTGGGGCTTTGGGGAAAAATAAAAAGGAGGAGGATTGGCAATAGATGTTAGCTTGGAGCCGGTCTTCCTCAGCAAAAAGAGGAGGATTAGCATGGATGTTAGCTCAGGGCTGATCTTCCTCACAAAAAATAAAAAAATAAAAAAAATAAATAACTTTTATAACATTAGATGGAGAAAATTGATACAGACTAGGAAAAATCAGGAATAAGTCAAAGTACTTCATATCAGAACTACATAAAAATTAATTTTAAGTTTTTGAATGTTGTCATACAAAATCACTCCTTTATTTCTAAGGTTCACATTAGAAACTTAACCTTTGCCTTTTGTACAGGAAAGTAATGTACAAGCCCTAGAAATTCTGTTTACTTATCATGGATCCGACCTGCTTCCTCATCGCCTTGCGATTCTCTCCAACTTTCCAGAGACCACTTCTCCACACGAATATTCTATTTTGCTGCCTGAAGCTTGGTATGTGACTTTGTTAACTGAATTTTACCTTCTTTCTAAATAACAACAACTTTTGTTTCATACAGAACACCTTAATTAAAAAAAAAATAATTTTAATGTAATCTATTTAAACTTTTTTTTTCTGATTATAAAATTGTTTCTGCCTTATTTTTAAATGATTATGAAGCCACAATGTATCTAGCATAACAGGATCACTTTAATTTAAGGAACAGGAACTTTCCTTTTTTTTTTGAAAGCCTCCTGATTTTACTGCTATGTACTGAATATGTACTGTTTTTGATTAAGAACAGTTTTTAGAATAACAATATCTGTTTGAATTAGTTGTATATTTTAAGTTTTTTTTTTAATTTTATTTATTTATTTTTTTCCCCCAAAGCCCCAGTAGATAGTTGTACATCATAGCTGCACATCGTTCTAGTTGCTGTATGTGGGACGCGGCCTCAGCGTGGCTGGAGAAATGGTGCGTCGGTGCGCGCCCGGGATCCGAACCTGGGCCACCAGCAGCAGAGTGCACGCACTTAACCACTAAGCCACGGGGTCGGCCCTAGTTGTATATTTTAGAAATTGAAGTGTAGTTCTGACAGTATTAAGTCCAAGGGACCCAGGGATGTCTGAATCTTGCTTCTCTCAACAACCCTTTCTCCTTACGAAATTCCAGAGGCACAAAGACAAATGGGAAATCAAAGTACCACTTTACTATTAGTTAGACTGATGCTCCTTACCTCACTTCAAGGCTATTTGATAATTGGGTTGTAACTTGTGACATAGATTCTAAGCCCAATGGAACCGTTAAGTCCCAGTTGTACCACCCAGTGGGTTTCCAGAGGCCTGAACATCTGTTGAGAAGGAAGAAAAGAGAATATATTTGCCTAGTGCATAACTTAAAGATGGGGAGGGCATCAGCCCCTGGCCTGAATGGTGCCTGGCAGCAGAGAGGAGTGCAGAGCATACCCTGCTTGTCAGTTACTACATAGAGGCAGGAGGCAGGAGTATCCATTTGTGAGTCCTTTCACATCCAGGGAAGTAGCCCATTAGTAAATGTGACTCAGTCAATTGCATGATTTATCCTTTCTGAATTTGAGTTTACTTATCTTTAAAGTGCGCTTATAGTCCCTGTCTTGCTTAGTCATATTGCATATTTTTAGTAAAAGGTGAATTGTTATATATGAAATCTGCTTGTAAACTATAAAACACTGTAAGGGATTATGACAGTTCTGATTGAAATCATTGTTACAAACTTTGGCTACTGGCAACTTACAGTATTAAGGGGTGTTATTGGAATTGGGGATCATTTGGTTTCTTCCTTCTTCCCCTGCCACCTGCACCTAATATCATAGCTGTAGGCTTAGGTGTTGAGGATGATGACCAGCATTCATAGGGTAATCGCTATGCATTTGGCATATACTTCTCTCTGGTCTCCAAACACTTTTGGTATTATCCCTGTTATTACAGAAACCTGAGATTTACAGAGGTTTAATAGTATGTTAAACTTTATGTAAGTGCAGCTAAGATTTGAGCCTATATTTATTTAGAGTTGTAGGTCAGAAAACTCGAAAAATATGTTATAAACTCCTTATTGTGCACTACTCTTAGTAATAAAAAAGTCTTTGTTATGATTAAAAATAAACAAAAAGAAAAAGCTTAGGATGCCCTTTTCTTTTTCAAACAGTTTCTTTTAGATCTGAATGGTATGTAAATGTATTTTATGAATATTTCAGAATATACTTCATTTATTGGTTTCTGCCTATTTGCAAAATCTAATCTGAATGGAAATGACTTTTTCTAGCGTAAGTTGTTAGTGTAGAGAAAAGGGCTACTGTCTTACAGTTTTTTTTTAAAGGTAATTTCTCCTTAGATTTGGATGCATTGATTGTTATTGTCTTCTGATAATTGCTTAGACAAACACTTGATTTTAACCTGAAATTTCAGAATTGATTTGCAAAATAGTTTTACAATGTTCAACGCTGTATTATCTTTGAATGCCCTGTGGTTCCCTTATGGGGCCTGCCATAACAGATTTAAATTGCGATAAATACTTTAGGTAGACTGTATTACAGCAGGGGGAAATTAGAAGATAACGTTATTTTGAATCTTTGTTGTGGGATATGGAAAGGCTATTTCTAATGAATCCTTAAGTTATATTCATTTTAAACACATTAAGAAAATAGAGATTTTGTTGTTGTTGTTAATCTTTGTTTCTCAAGAAAGTCTTTCACATTGAGAATATTTTTGTTATAATTAGAAAGAATGAGAAAAAACAATAGGTTTAATTAGTAATGTCTGTATCTCCTTATAATTTTATGTGACTGGAAATCAAAACCACAATGATGTTTTAAGCATAGCTTCTTCTGGAGGTCTTCCATAAGTTATTCCTTTCCCTATGTTCTCATAATTCTTTGTTCACTCTTGTAGTGTAACACCTTTTACGTTGTGTCATTCATTTTTATTTCTGCCTTTCTCCCTCTTGTTTCCTTCTTTAACAATCACCCAGCCTCAAACCACTAACTCTTAAAGGCAGAGACCATCTCTTTGTTATTTTTGGATTCCCAAGGCCTAGCTAGGGTTGTGCTTGTGGAGTGGTTTCTCTGAAGATGTTTGCAAACTGTTAAATTAGGTCCATCTTGTGCCCATTTAAAAAAGAGATTAAAGGATGTCCTGAAGGGAGTACAGCAGAATATACATACTTTCATTTGTTAACATGGGAGGCCCCCGGCTTAGTATTTCGCTAAGGTTCCAATGGCCTTAAAGATTTAATAGCTATTTTAGCCCATAGTTAAAGCCTGCACGCTTTTTTTTTTAAAAATTTTATTTATTTATTTATTTTCCCCCAAAGCCCAAGTAGATAGTTGTATGTCATAGCTGCACATCCTTCTAGTTGCTGCACGTGGGACACGGCCTCAGCATGGCCGGAGAAGCGGTTGCGCTGGTGCGTGCCCGGGATCCGAACCTGGGCCACCAGCAGCGGAGCGCGCACGCCCAACCGCTAAGCCAGCCGGCCGGCACTCTTTTATTCTATTTGAAGTTTTACTGTCTTGGACATGTAAGTCAATAAGTTATAGAAATTATTTCCTTTTTGAGGAAATGTTTTCTTCTGTGAATACTTGGTATTCATTTTCAAATGACTTGGAACCATTAGGTCAGCTGAACACAAAGTGTCTGATTTGTTGGGACATGAATGCTTTTCTCCGCTTACCTGCCCACTGTCTGCTGAGCACCTTCCATGTGCCTGGCACTATGGTTGGGATTTTGAAATGAATAAAACACTGTTCCTCTTCAGCAAGAGATGTCTGGTATACTTTACAAACTGACAGAAATTCCTGCTCACAGCATCATGCTTTCAAACTGAGGAAGAAATAAGAGTTGAAAAGACTCTAAATAAATCTGCAGCCTTTTCTGCTTTCTGTTTTTTTTCTCCTCAGTTGTGATGTCTGAAAACGAGTAAAATGATCTTGCCACTTCCCCATTTAGTGCTTTGAACAGCTGTAGAACTTTCTGTGTGCATTCCTTGTTTTTCTGTGAGAGTATACATTGCTCAGTGGCAGGGCTGTGTTTTATCCTGCTTTATCTTACCTTCGGTCCCCAACTTGTATTTTGCAAGTAATAATAACTTTTTAATAATCTGTTGAATTGATTTGAAGCAAATCACTAAACTCTAAGTGTGTGGCTCCCAAAATGCAGCATGGCTATGTATCTCCTCACAGTCTTCAGCTTGCTGTTAGGACAATTGTGTACCGTCCCCTGTACTCCACTGCTGCCACACGGGCCTCTTCCTGTCCCTTGAACATGCCATGCCTGCTGTCGCCATAGGGTTTTTGAGGTTGATGTGCCCCCTGCCTGGTGTGCCCTTTTCCCAAATCTTTCATGTGATAGGCCTGTTACTTTGTTCAGAGTCTCTGTTCAAAGGCTACCTCTTCAAAAGGCCTCCCCGACCACTCTTCATATAGCCTTCACTCCCTCCTCACTCTTTTGCCCGTATATCCGAGTTTACTCTTCTTCACAGCACTTACCCCTAATATATTATATGTTTATTTGTCTTCTCCACTTTCTCTGATCCTACCTGGCCACCCTATTTACAATTTTACTCTCACTTTAAATCCTCCTTTCCTGCTTTATTTTCTTCCTAGCATTTATCACTATCTACCTTACTTTGGGTTTTACTTATCTTGTTTATTTTCTGTTTGCCCTTCTAAAATGTCAGCTCCAATAAGACAGGGATTTTTGTGTGTTTTGTTCTTTTCCTTACCCTCTGCACTTAGAATAGTGCCCAGCACGTTGTAGGCACTCAGGAAATACTTGTTGAATGAATGAATAAGTGAATGAATGAATATAAAATCCATGAGGGAAGGACTTTGTGTCTCGTTCGCTCATGTAGCCTCGGTGCCTAGAAGAGTGCTTGGTACAAAGCAGTAACTCAGTAAGTTGTTTAAATGAATGAGTGTACACGGATGGGTAGGTAGAGTTTTACATTTTAGAGTTCAGGCTATATAATATTTTGGAAAGCCATAGAAACTTATACCAACAAGTAAACCTTTACCTACTTTGTTTTGAGGTCCCATTGGCAGAGCTTTTGCCTTGGCGTTTAACCAAGGTTTGATTAACCAATTTTCATTGAACCAGATTTTGTGATTTTGATTGCTGGGAAACTTCTATGGTATGTGTGATTTTTGTGTTTTATATTGTCACTCTTAAATCATGTGTATTTGACATTGATGAAATGTGACCAAGTTTTATAAAACTTTGAAATTACGTTTTCTGTCATATGTGATACATCTTTGTATTAGCTACCTATCCTTAGTTTGTCATTGCTATAAAACGTTTACACTTTATATTCTAGTTGACTGCTTTAGTTTCTAAATACAAAAGTAACGTTTCTTACCATCTTTATTAGCTTCCACAATTTGTGGTAATAGAGATTTTTTTGTAAAAAAAAGAAATACTTTTTTTTGGCTTTTAGTATTTTTGATGCTTATATCACACTGTAGAAAGATTCTTTCATTTAT